AGATCTCTTAATGTATTACAGTACTATCATTAACATAGTGTATAACATTTAAAATATATGCAAAAGTATAATTCATTGGCCACATGGCACCAAGAAACGATTCTCCTTGTAAACAAATAAAATTAAGTAGCTGAACAGCATTCCTGACAACAGCAGGAGTTTCATAACAATGTTTGTTTCCATGTTAATCTTATGGAGAAATACGAAACTTTAAAGGGCCCCAGGCCTCTCTTAAATTATTTCCCTAAAAAAAAGTTTCCTGCACAACTTCACCTTACGCTCTTTTAAATGAAACCAAAAACATGTCAATCGGTTCAGTAGTTTCGGAGGAGTAATTGTCACAAAAAAACCTGCTTGCGTATTAAATAAGTATAGATAATCATTGCCGTATCAACCTAGGCCCTTATCGTGAGTTTTATGAGGTTTATTTCTTTGAATTATTTTGGTGTAAACCAGTAATATATAATCCCCCTGCCGCAGCAAATCTATAGACTGAGCGAATTTCCATTTGCCTGATTATAATTTCACAAAAATATGTTAGAAAATTACCCATAATTTTCCATATTTATTTATATTTTCCTTTTTTTTCTATTTTTTTGTTTGGAACTATTGTGATAGCTTTTCGTTTATAGTGCAAACCATTAAACACATTCTTTTATTATACCTTTAAATCCATCATTGGTTTTGTATCGTAGGTAGGCCGAGCCTAAATAAGTATTAACAGTATGAGTTAACAAAAACGTACTATTATCAAGTTAAGTAATACAGTTAAATTTTGTTTCTAAATTAAATGGTAGGAGTGAAACCATTTGGTATTTTCAAAGAACCTATGTGTATCTTTTGCATACTGACCCCGTTGCAAGGCACGGGTATAGCTGCTAGCAAATACGAATAGTAGCGCTGATTTGCAGTAGTAATTCAATAAAATAACAAGCGACCGGCTGACCGGCACAACTAATTGTGACCAACGGGATTGATTTATTTAGTATCTTATATGCATTAGAAATCATGTACTACCACAAAGTCTTCTATCTACATCAATTACAATTCCATAATACCCCCACCGCAGCAAACCTGCAGCCAAAGCAAATTTCCATTTGTGTGGCTTTATTTTCAATTCAATATAATTCAATAACGTTAGGTTTAACGAGTACCTAGGTTTGCTGCCTACAGGTACAGGGAGGGTAACGAAGTGTGATTTTTAGAAAAATATTATTAGCTTAGTATGAAATAAATAAATTTGCCAAGTTTAAAGAAAATATATTCATAAACGAGCAATATTACAACAGTTTACTTATCCGACTAAATATTATAAGTAAGAAAGTTTGGATTTATATGGATGTATGGATGGATGGATGGATGGATGGATGTTTGTGACAAGTAAACGCGAAGAATACTAAACCGACAAGGTTGAAATTTGGTATGACGATAGCTGACATTCCCGATTAACATATAGACATATTCTTACCTCAAAAATCCTTTCAGGCTCCGCCCCAGTGGCTCTGGCCATGGAGTGTCTCATGTTAACCTTATGAGTATTCATATTTAAAGAAATTAAAGAATTTTGTCAGCCTTTTCAACTGCATAAGTTGGTTATGATATTAAATAGCAAAATAGCATTAAAAAGTTATAAGGCTTGCCAATAGGGTACAGCACTATTATGTTTTTTGCATTTATGACCACAGCTAATTTGAACCAATTAGCAACAAAAAGTTGTGGTACACAATGAGAACTTTACTTTTTTCCATGGCTTAGGTGCAGTGGTAGAACATTTGGGCTATGGTAGATGTGTGTTACACTATAGGATACCGTATAAATTAAAAGACCAAATTGTCTTAAACCGCGTCTTCTCCCATAACTGCAATAAACATTTATACTTATATGCAAACCCCGTACGAAGGACGGGTACTCTGCTAGTTATAGATAAAACATAGTCTCTTAGCTATTAACCTACAAAATCAGAGCTATATTGCTTCGGTAGTTTAGGTGTGGTTGAAAGAACTGGGCGCCGGGAGGCAAAACGCGATAATTCCTCGGACGATTCGGTAACGGGGATATTCCCCGCGAGCCGGGTAGATGCAGGGAGACGTCCGCTCAGTTACCCACCCGAACCAGTTTTGTCCGGCTCACGCACTGTCCGCCTCACGCACGTCCGGGGGAAACACGGCACCTGCCTGAACAGATTAACAGAATCATATTATACTGTGTAGTATCAAAAATGTTTGAAGTATTGCGACCATTGCAACTGTCGGCTACTATTTCACCACTTGAAAACTCTCTGTATCAACAATCACAGATAGCTCAGTGGTAAGGTAAGAGGCTCATAAGTCGAAGGACCCGGGTTCGAGACCCGTCTGGGCCAAAAAATTTTGTTCCAGCTTTTTTTCAAAATTTGTTTTTATGAACTATTTAATCAATTTACTCAACTAATAATTATGCTTTTCGTACTAAATCTTTATTATTTTGTGTGAAATAATTTTGGTTGGGCCATTGTTGGACAAAGGTTGGCTGGAAAACAGTTTAAAGAGGTGACATTTCTACCGTTGGCCAACTGTGTGGCTCCACAATTTACCAACGTTGGCCCAACCATCTATGCTACATGGGTGGTTAGTTTGGTTAGGTTATGATAGTTTTATTTTAGAATAAAAAAATTATAAAATAGGATTTGAGGCATTTACAATTTTATTTCATGAACAGAACTATTTTTTCGATTAATAAACCTTCATTAGATTTTTTCATTGTCAGCACGTTTGGTTGGTTAGGTTAGATTATGACGGTTTAATTTCATAATAAAAAAATACAAAATTGAATTTGAGGCATTTATAATTTTATTCTATGAACAAAAATAATTTTTCAATTACTAAACCTTCGTTATAGTCAATCAGAAGCCTCTAAATGACACTGTTGGCAAAATTAATCCTGAAAAACAAATTGTGCGTCCCCTAGTTATATAACCAAACAGCAAAGCACAAATCAAGAAATTAACCCTAAAATAATAGAAACAAAGTTTCGTCGACACTAGCGCCCATGTGTCACGTACATGAACTAGACACGAAAAACGTGCTTCAAAATGTACAATGGGATGAGAAGTCTACTTGTGTTGGTTAGTCTATGGTTTTAGTTAACTTTATAAGCATACTGAAGTGTAAGCATATCGTGATTGACGGTGACTATGGCAGCCAAGCTTGCTCCTGTCCCCTCCAACTGGCAACTACTCCGTCCCCAATAACACCCTTGGCAGGAAAAATGAAGTTATAATGGGTTGTAATACTGAACTCTTAATTAATCTCGGATTGTCACGCCTGCATGCATGGTTTGAACCCTTTAGACGATCTCTTGGCACTGAAGAACCCACTGCTCTCTGAGGTGCACTGTACTTGTGCGACCTCATATGGGGTATTGCAGTGTCGCATGGTGCCTCATCAATCAGCTATAACCCAGAAACGCCTCTAGTTTTGTAAACACACACGTGGACACATCAGTTCAAAAACACTTAAGATTCAACCATAGACTAACCAATAGAAGTAGAATTCTCATCGCATCGTAAATTTTGAAGCCCGTTTTTCTTCTAGTTCATGCCGGTGATATTGATTTGCTAGGGACGACGAAATTTTGTTTATATTATTTTACGGTTAGTTTGATGATTTGTGATTTACTGTTCAGTCATACAGCTTGGGGACGAGTTATTGTTTATGATTTTTGATCCATTTATTTGGTTAAACGATGTTTTAAATGACTGAAATAACAAGAAACAAATTGTAAACAAAACATAACCTCTCACAATGCACCGGACAGAACTAACAATAAAATTTGCTTAATCTCTTCCATAAAGATGAGAAATCTACTAAGGGAGTATGTTTTATCAATGGTTAAATATTCACGAATGCAACACTAGCTGATACTAATAATCAATGTCAATAATATAAATAGCAATTCTTATTCCTTGCTTTGTAGATTTATGCTCTTTTGTCCGTCGTGTAAGTGGTCGTGTACCAAGGAGCAGCTGCTCAGCGCCACATGTTGTTGTTGTTTTGTTCTTTTCTTTTTCTTTTTCTGTGACACTTTTTTGAGAAGAGAAGACTAGACAACTAACTGTCAACGTGTTGGAGTGTGAAAGGTATTTTACCTTTAATTAAGTTGATTTTATTTATTTGTACTTTGTGTCAACCGAACTGAATGCGGCAAAATGAATAGTTTCCTTTCTACAACATTGGTCAATAACTATTTTGTTGTAATGGCAATATCCCTCGTTAGGAGTTCATTTTAGGTTATGAATCTAACCTAAAAGAATTAATTTACTTTTCAAGAATGGCATTAATTTCCTAATTGATATTATTTGTTAATATTTGACTACTGAATTTTTTACCTATTCTTTTTAACAATTGTGTTAAAAAATGAAAATTTTACGAATATTTTATTTTCTATTAAAAATGTTACATTTTGTGGTAGGCCTATGGCATATGGACTTTTTTAATTGCTGATGTAAATTGTACTGGAGTTGGATCATAAGGTGGGACGGGACCCAATAAATCATCCATCTATCAGAATTAGACTATCACCATTTCTAATTTATATATCAAACTCCCCTAACTTATTTTATATAATTTCTTATCAAGCGTGCTTTGTTTCTTGTAAAATAGGCAAAAGAGGGCTATTGATATTATATTTTCAATTTCCAAAAGACTATTTTGTAAGGAATTAATCAGATCAGCTAAAATTTGTACTCTTCCCTCACCATACATCCTTGAGACCCTTTCATTTGTAAAAAAATCAGTCAGTATTTAACATTAGCTTAAATGCATAGGTACCCTACTCCTTGCGCCCATCGTATAACCTAAAATTCCTGCCCTTTAAAATCAACATAATTTTTTCAACACCACCTTCTGTGCAATGGAGATAAACTTTTTAACCAACTTCCTCAACATCTAAAGCTGGAGACTGACTCAGGTTTAGGAGGAAACTTAAAAACATATACTGTAGGCTAGGCCTATGTCGAATTTGTGAACTTTCGACGCACCTCTTTGAAGGAGGATTAGTTCTTATACGGATCTGACGATGGTATTTGGGCTGAAATGTGCATAATCCATTAAGAACAAGACTTGGACCACAAGGCAACATCAGGTAACCTAATGTTTTTAGGCTATATGTCAAATAAATGACTGGGACCGGTGGCGTCGTCCTGTAATCCAGCTACTTGGAGGTCACAAATTAAATGGATATTTATAGGCATGCACTGTGGATGCGATACTCTCTGGTGTGGATTAACGTCCGCACGAGTGAGTACTATGACTATCCGTCTCAGTACTATCCTGATAATTAGACTAATTCGTATATACATAGGCAAAAATGTGGTTCGGATTCCACTATAAACTGTAGGCCCCTTTGTTGCCATTAGCTATATGGCCTATTAATTAACAGCTGTGTCTAAGGAATATGGTGGCCTTAGTCACTAACAAGACACCCGTCACATCCTACACTCATCTCCATTCATGCTTGGCTTAAAATACCTACTTTATATGGTCACCATTTCATTGAAAAGTATTAAAGTATTGGTCCGGAAACATCACAACAACAAAAAATGAAGCTATTCAGGGATATTCTGACCTTCCCAATCCTCTTAAGAACAACTCACTATCACTCATTCATGTTTATTTTCTTTTTCTTGCAGATGGGAATGACAGCTAACCCTCTAACATGCGAAGCCAAGCAACAGCTGATTACTCGAAATCTCCAAGAAGTTTTGGGAGAAGACAGATTAGCTGCTGTTCTGAAGGAAAGAGACCTTAAGATTTATTGGGGAACGGCTACAACCGGAAAACCCCACATTGCTTACTTTGTCCCAATGTCCAAGATAGCTGACTTTTTGAAAGCTGGCTGTGAGGTAAGTTAATTCATTCTCCAGCTCGTGTTTTGGAACACTTTTCATTTAATTTCTTCATCCTAACGTAATATCAATCCGTGCTAAAAAATGTTTTCAAATTCAAACAACAATTGTTTTCGAACAATTTGATTGGATACGCTCTACATTGAGATTGTTGATCAATCACAAGCTCTAAGGTCTTGTTTACCCAAGTCCAGTCAAAGAGATAGGGTAGGTACCGTGATAAATTTTGAAACCGTCTTAGCCGATTTTTAAAATCAAATTTCCCCATCTAGGAAAGTAAGAAGCTATTACCGTAGGTGGCTCGGAAAGATAGCACTGTCTTATCACTGTCACTGACTAAATAAAACTGGCTGAATCATGAGGTGTCTTCATCTCTCCAGTGCCACATGTATTTCAGTTTGTTTTGTTCATTTTTTATACTTCTTTGATTTGTAGCTTGTCAATATATGTATCAAATATAATATTTGACTGGAAAGAAGTCTAATAATTTTAAATGTTAAATGGGTTGAGTTTTTTAGCTTTGTAGATGGTGAATTCTTCTTTAACATCAAGCTTAAAACTTTTTGGTTACCCTATATTAAACTATTTCCATGTTCTTATCAATGTGTAGTTCAAGACATGTAGTTGTGCGATTCTGATATTAAATGTTCGGCTAACTGAATTGCCGATGTTGTGATCTTTTAGGTATATGTTCTTTAAATCTTGGTTTGCAAGATCCTCCAGTTTGGCCGATGTAGTACTTTGGACAGTCGTCACTGTTAATTCTATGGATGTCTGATTTTGCATAGTTGTTTGTGGCGTGGAAAAACTTTAGAAGTGTGTTGTTTACAGAATGTGCGACAGTCGTATTGTTTCTATTAAATATTTTAATTTATATTATATTTATTATATTATACTATTTATATTAGCCTATTATAATATCTTGTTTCTATTAAATATTTTGGGGATCTAAAGTTTTAGAAAATTAGGTATTTTTTTATTTTTTCAAATGCCCAATTTCTATTAAAACCTTCGGGTAGAGCTTAAAAACTAAAAAAAATGTCTTCATATAGGTATTAATTTTATTTGTTTAATTTTAGGTGACTATTTTATTTGCCGACTTGCACGCCTACCTTGACAACATGAAGGCACCATGGGAACTGCTAACTCTAAGAACGCAATACTACGAGCATTCCATCAAAGCCATGTTGGAGTCGATCGGAGTACCGTTGGACAAACTTAAATTCGTCCGAGGCACTGAATATCAGCTGTCCAAGTGAGTACAAGAGTTAATTTTCTGGTTTGGTAAAATGAAAAAAAAATAGTTCCTAGTAATGTTGGATGAAATGAAATACTTATCAGTCTTAAGGCTACTAAACTTTGATTCCTGAAATTGGCATCTTGCTAAGTGCAAAGTAAGCATGGGGAAACTGGCCACTGTATTCCAGGCAGAAGTTGTTGCCCTGTCAGAGTGTGCAATTGAGTGTTTGAAGCAAGGTCTGACATGCCACACCATATTATATATGAACTCGGACAGCAAAGCAGCGCTAAGAAGGAAAGAACAGAAGGCAACATACAGTCCAAGAGAATGCTGCACAAACTACCGGCACGATAGCAGCAGATGCCCTTGGGCTGAATAGGAAGATCCTGGAAGGTGGTTGGCTTCATCAGCGGCCACTGGGTGTTCCGCGGACATCTACACAAGATGGAAATTCAAGTTGGAAGCCTCTTATGTAGGAAATATGGTGAGGGAGAGACAGCCTTCCAGATTTCCAGCCCTACAAGGTCTGCGTATGAGATCCCTTGGCCTATTGACAGGAGGTAAGGGAAAGAATGTCATGATTCACTAAGGGCCTGGGATTTGACGGAGAATGAGGACCTGTGAATGAGGGTGCACAATAAGCTGTTCCAGCTGCGATCCAATCCCATCTTCACTTGAAAGCCTGGCCCTCTGTTTAAAAGTAAAAAAAAAAATGTGCAAAGCAATATTTCAGTTATACTGTTACAGACCTTTAGTGAAGCTGAAGTTAGTTAAAGCCCAAGCTGTTGAAGTTGGAATACTATTGCACTATTCTCAATTAATTGTCCGTGTAATAAATAAATACCCCCGCCGCAGCAAACCTGCAGACTAAGCGAATTTCCATTTGACTGATTGCATTTACACTGAAATGTCTACTTAAAAATATAACATTTATTCCCGATTTAAATAGAATTAGTTTAACAAGTACTTAGGTTTGCTGCATCAGGGAGGGTAAAAATTTTTTTGTAAAATGTTAATAGTTAGTAAGAAATAAAAACATTTTCCAAATTTGATCAAAATATGTTCATAAACAAGCAAACTACAACAGTTTACTTATTCTCCATAAGAATAACATGGGAATTTTAAATTTACAATTTTTTGGAATTTTCTCTGTAACCGTTAGGCGCACAATATCGCTTCAATATACTAAATTATTTGTTTTTTTAAGCTCTACAAAATGGTTTGGAAATAAATTGCAAAATTTTAAGTTTTTTGGGTCAAAAATGGGAAAAACCTATTTTTACCCCATAAAACCCCCCGTAAACACCCGTTCCCATGGTCCGATCATGCTGGATCGCGAACTCGTTCGAATAAACGTAGGTTTACACGTTTGTACCAAATTTGATCAAAATCGGATAATTTTTGCTTGAGTTATCGTGCTGACGGACACATATATATATATATATAAATATATAAATATATATATATATATATATATATATATGAATTTGAACGGATGGTGTTTTTGACCTCTAGGGACCTCAAAACGAAAAAAAAAATTGGTCCCGCGTCCAGGTCTTACCATGAGTACTACGGTAATAGCTTATTCCCTATATGGGAAATTCGCTAAACGTAATTTCTTCTTGAAAAGCAAATAAAATAGGTGTCACTTTTACTTAGCACTGTACAGACTGATTAATTTGAAATTGAAATGTGAATTAGTAAGGTTGAGAGATTATGAAGAAATGGTGTGGTTAAACGATAAAAAGATGATTTCCCGACAGTGGACGGCAATGGACTGTGTTGTTTTCAAGGATATCATCGGTGAGAGCAAAGACCGCATACCTTCGTTATCGCGAAGAGCGGCTGAATAGAGGAAATATTACTTGGGCTAAGTCATTGGTTTGAAATAGAAAAATGTAAAAATAAAGGAATAATTTGAATAAAAATCATAAAAATTAAATATATCCAACACACCCAATTATACAAATCTACAGAACTCGTTGTAAGTTACTAATTTGGTTGAAACCAAAATACATATACCGATTTATGTTACATAAGCACACTGGTGTGTTGCAGGGAATACACTCTGGACGTGTACAGGTTAAGTTCTGTGATGACGGAACACGATGCCAAGAAAGCCGGAGCCGAGGTGGTGAAGCAGGTGGAACATCCGTTGCTTTCTGGTCTTTTGTATCCAGGTATGGCAATGTTGATACAATTATGAACTGTTTCATCATCCTGACTATTCAACACATTTCTTAAAACGCTCAATAGCTGAGCTGTTTTACCGAACCCTTTAATGTTTTTGTGTTTATAAACTCCCGCCAAAGTCCTGCTGAAAGTAGATTTTATGATAAGTTTATGTTGTAATGAAATTGCTGGATTTGTGGATGTATAACGGAACTGAAACCTAGAATTAAAACATGAAACAGATTGACTGATTATTATTTGGTTAGATGTTAAATAGGTTTTGTCAGCCTAGTTTACAATGTAATGGATCTTTGATTAAAATAGTTTTTTCATAGTAATCAATTTGCTTACTCTTCAAATTATTTGATTGATTTGTCTCCAGGATTGCAAGCTCTTGATGAAGAGTACCTCAAAGTAGACGCTCAGTTTGGAGGGGTTGACCAGCGAAAGATCTTCACCTTAGCAGAGAAATACCTCCCTCATCTGGGCTACACCAAGAGAATTCACTTCATGAACCCCATGGGTAGGATTTAGTTATGAAAGTCCCAAAAAAAAAATTAATGATCCATAAAACTTTGATAAACGCAAATCAAACCTTCGGCTATCGGCTTCGGTCGATGTGTGGAAGTCTTTGTAAAAATTAAGTGTTTATATGCTATCATAAGAAAAATTGGAAACAATAGTGGTGTGGCGAGAATGTTTTTTGAATAATATAACAATGTTAACTTTTGTTTTTGTTTTATAATTTGGACCATAACACTTATTTCTTGGAAAGATGACATTTTTACAGAGATGTTTCAGAATTTACTTAAACTCAATATCATATATACCTTTACAAAAATCATGCCATTAACCTTCACTCGTAGTTCAATTTCTTTAAGGTAAATGTTTTTAAAAATCCATTGAAAAAAATTAAGTAATTTAGTTTAACGACCAATACAGTTCTTCTAACATTCAATCTAGGTGTCTTACCTCATTTTAGTTCTTTATAGTTTTCTAATGTAATCAATCTCAAGTTTTGTGTCTCAGTATTTACTGTATTTGTCGGTAGTCCCTGGATTGTCGGGAGGCAAGATGTCGTCTTCAGAAGAAGACAGCAAGATCGATTTGCTTGATCCCCCAGCAGCTGTTAAGAAGAAGCTCAAGAAAGCCTTTTGTGAGCCCGGCAACATTGAAGACAATGGAGTTCTAGCGTTTGCCAAACACGTAGTGTTTAGTCTCTTCAAGCCTGAGGAACGTAAGTGATTGTTCAAGTAGTACAAAACAGTCTACAGTTATTTACAGCATGGAAAACTTTGGATCAATTGTGATTGTTAATGCATTACGCCTATAACGTAGGACATTAAATTATTAATTATTATTAAAGTTAAAACCATTATATTAGTTATAACGTAGGAGTGCAAAGTGCTGTGAAGCTGAATACCATCACATTGTCAGTGCAATTACCTAACATTTTTTGCTAGCAGTGGAGGAAAGTAGGTAAAGCAGCGGCTACACTTACCCGATTTGGTCCGGTTCGGTTCGGTTCGGTCCGGTCCTCCAAAATGCGGAACAATGCTTCCCATGTTTTTAAATGGAGGTGGCTTCACTTACCCGATTCGGTCCGTTACGGTCCGGTTCGGCGCGGAACAATCGTCCAGGGAGCATTCATCATCCGCATTTGGCGGAAGCATTTGAGGTGGACCGGACCGAATCGGACAAGTGTAGCAACCTACTCCTGAAATTCGGATGAGGATCGGGTGGTTCCGTGAGCACTCGGCTACGAAAGTGATTAATTAAATTAGGAAAAATAGTTATTTGTAGGACATAGGCCTAAGAATTTCGGCAATTATGTTCATATATTGCCTCGATCATGGAAGACGATAACTATGTCTACACGACCGCAGAAAATAGTCTGAATTTTGCCGCAATATTGGGAGACGATTACAATATCTACACGGCCGCGAGGGATTATAGGAAGTTTACCGCGATTGCATGCGAATACAACCACAATTTTTTTAATTTTTAATTTTTTTTTGCACCCCCCAAAAAAGCCAATTGCCTCGCGCCCTAGGCAAATGCCTACCGTGCCTATTCGGTTAATCGGTCCTGACTAAACACTTTCTGTTTTGCTGTACTTGTGCCTCGTGCTCGTGTGTGTCCTCCAAAATATCGTACAAGTGTAGCTACCTCTTCCGGCCGGACCGAAACGATTCGTACAAGTGTAGCCACCCCTCACAAACTCGGGCCGGACCGGACCGAATCGGGCAAGTGTAGCTGCTGCTTTACGAAGACAATCATAACTTTCAAACTGTCCATGTACTTCATGAATACATTTTTTAATAATTTTCTTTTTACCTGGTAAAATTATCAATCGTGCATCTTTACACATACTTTCTAAATAAAAAAAAAAAACATATTTTGCAGTAACAGTGAAATCATGAACATCTTCTGTGGTCACATCTTCATCGTCTCCGGTAATCGCGATGATCAATACATCAATATCATTACAGCAGTTCGCCTATTCTGAATTCCCACTTGTCTGAACAGCGTTCGGTCGAGACTCTACTATAAGTTGTAGTAAAAATAGAGTCATGCATGTTAAAGAATTATCACACGTTTGTATACTGTTGTGCTTGGTTTCATGAGTCTGCGGGTCAAGAGAAGACTCGTCAACGGATTTGAGTTGCACGTAAATAAAACAAAAATCATCTCCTTACTCATAAATACTTAGTGTAACTAAAACCATTTTCTTAATATCTAAACTAATATAAACATGTCAAAAAAAAAATTAAAAAAATATTTTTATCTTAATTGTTTGCAGAGTTTGTTATTGTGAGAGACGAAGCTCACGGTGGAAACCTGACCTTTGACACTTACGAGGAGTTAGAAGCGGCTTTCGCAAAGCAAGAACTCCATCCTGGTGACCTCAAAGCTTCGGTAGAAAGTTACATTAACAAGCTGTTGGAACCAATCAGGAAAAAGTTTGAAGAACCTGAACTAAAGAAACTTACAGAGAAGGCTTATCCACCTCCCAAAAAACAAGGTAGAGTATAAACAAGAAAGTAGGCTTGGTTAAGGCTGTGTGGACGCAAGTGAACTCTGGCGATGAGCTCAATAATTCTCGTATGCCGCTACTGTCGCTTCTAACACAGTGATTACTGATTAGTGCAGTGTTGTGTGAGGTGACCGGGTCAGCTCCATAAGGTGATTTAAAAAAATAAAGGTACAGATACACAGGTCAAAGGATACAAGATATCAACTTGAAAAATTGCATTGAGTAGGCCTAAATTGTTGTTATGTACTTTATTTATTGAAAATGACATATTTTTAATCAACTAAAATTAGTTGTGTCCAAGATATTTTATTTTTGTTGTACATTTTTTTTGTGGTTCTGCCTCTAGATTTCTGTCAATATTTTACCAAATATACCACTTTTAAGCCCAGTAAATCTCACATTATTTGTCAAAATCACTTAACAACCATATATTTTCTCAACAGCTGTAGTTGACGAGATAGCCCCTCACAGACTAGACATAAGGGTCGGCAAAATTGTCGATGTGTGGAAACATCCAGAAGCTGATGCTTTGTATGTGGAGAAAATCGATGTAGGTAAGTTTTAAAAGTCGAACTAGACAAATTAGTTTTATTAGATCTGTAGATAGGCCTAGTTATTTAAATTTGTTGTAAACCGACTCAGTGTTCGTACTCAGTTTTAATCAATAAATCAATTTCTTTATTGAGCTTTCTTTAAGAAATACAATAGGGTCATACTTACTTTACATCCTATTTATTTTTTATACTCTTATAATGAGCAATGTTTGCTTGTATGTATGTATGCTTGTATGCTTGCTTGCACAAAGATCTCGAAAACGGCTTTGACGATTTCCTTCAATTGTAAAATAACTCATTTCTGGCCTAAAAACATAGCAGTTAAAACTGCCAACAAAAATCTACTTACGTAAAAAAATGAAATTGAAAGTCAAAACCTTTTAACATTGGCCTTATGGGTTGCTAAGTAACCATGTTGGTTGAACAAAATAACAAGAAGAAAGTAAACAAAAGACTTGTTGGTTGTAACATGTGTTCATAATAAGGCATCCACCCACAGTATACTAGCAAATTACAAAAGACAGTACAAAAGGAAAAACATCAGTTGTTAGGTTACACTGGAGATAACTTGATATAGGTGAAAATAGTTCCAAGTTCCGATCAAATACTGATTATTTAACTTGGCTCCCTCCTACCAAAACTTAATCCCCAAAGTAATCAGCTGTTTTAATTTAAACAAAATGTCCAAACAATGTTAATGCAACTATAGGCTATTATAAACGAGCGACCTTTCTTCGTCTGTAAAATAAATTTCTTAATATGTAAATAAATGTCTTGAGGATTACCAGGTTAAAATTTCCATCGTAATAAATTGAAATTCCACTGAAACTTAAATAATAAAAGCCAAAATTAGTTGTAAAAAAATGTGAGTATATATTGCTTTCACAATCAAAATAAATACACCGAGCCATGGCTCGGTCCATAGGTACTATTGTTAACTGGCCAATAAAATAATCCTGTGTTAAATTACTCTATTGTGACATCCTTTATGCTGTGATGGATACAGGATTACAAACATTTATTTTTAACCACTTTCCGAATTTTGTTTATTAGCGAATGTCCCTATAGGGAAGTAGCTATTACCGTAGGTGGCATGGTAAGACCTAGGCCTGGGACTGATTTAATTACTTTTTCATTTTTATGTTCCCAGGGGCCAAAAAGACCATTTGTTCCAATTTGTATGTATATAATATATATAGAGAGAGTTATGTGACCATGCACGCGATAACATGAGTAATTTTTTGTCCGGTTTTGATGAAATTTGGTTTAAAGGTGTACCAGGCAGGATAAACTTAAATGAGTTCGCGAACCAGCATGATCGGACCATGGGAACGGGGTTTTACGGGGTAAAAATAGGGTTTTCTTATTTTTGACCCTTAAAACACAAAATTTCCCAATTTCTCTCTAGACCTTTTTAAAGAGCTTAAAAAAACACAAATAATTTTGTATATAAAAGTGTTAATTATCAATCAAAGTGTAAATTATTAGTAACGGAGAAATAAAAAAAAATGTAATTTCAAAATTCCCATGTTATTCTTATGGGGAATATTGTAAAATATTGTAGTTTGCTTGTTTATGGATCTATTTTGATCAAACTTGGCAAATTTATTTTATTTTATACTAAGCTATTAATATTTTACTAAAAACTACACTTTATTATTTCCTTGTAGCAGCAAACCTATTTACTCGTTAAACCTTTTTTATTTATCTTTTATGTCTTGTTTCCAGTTTTTTCACTACTGGCCTGTGATAGTCGCAAAGACACTATGTTTTTCCTCTGCTTCTTCTTTCTGTAAGACCACTGTATTTTTCTTGTAAAAAATGGTGCAACCGTTAAAAAAAAAAAATAAACCTAATGTTATTTTTAAATAGATTTAATTGAAAATAAATTCAGACAAATAGAAATTTGCTTAGTCGGCAGGTTTGCTGCGGCGGGCTGTATATGTTTATTCTGGGGGGCGCTTTTTTGATTTGATCGGCTCCCATCCAACAAACAAACACAGAAAAAAATAGTTAACTGAAAATCATTTTCTTCTGGCTTTATTTGAAATCATACCTCTGTGATATGATTTTTTGCTGGATTGTTAATGAAAAAGAAAATTACAATACCTTTTTTGAATATTCAACCAATTTATTTCAATGACTGGCTTCAGGTGATAAGGAGCCACGCACTATTGTAAGCGGATTGGTCAACTATGTGCCAATTGAAGAGATGAAGGGCCGCAGTGTTCTAGTGCTGTGTAACCTCAAACCTGCCAAGATGAGGGGCGTGGAGTCTTGCGGTATGGTGCTCTGCGCCTCTGTGTGAGTAAAACTGTATTTTTCCACATAATAATTGCCGATAAATGTGATTGAACCTAATTTTCATCAACCCTGAAAGCCGTTTGGATGTTGGGCACAAGCACAACATTTACATAACTGTTACGTCATATCATGGGGAAATATTATCGTTTCGTAAGATTTCAATCTGGAAATCCAGGAATAAAAAGGTGTAATGACTCAAAATTCAATGTTTATAATTATAGTCCTTATTTTATTTTCAAACTCAATCTTGTTATATTTTCAATATTTATCCATGTCCATTTTTAATATTATTAAAACCATATTGTCTCAACATATATATAATTTACTATCAAAATTTATTCATTGGCTTATCCAAAATTATTATTCAAAAACAAATCCTCCAATCAGAACACCATCCATCTGGGTTCAAGATTATTAATAAAATTCAACCATGTTTTTATTTATGTGAACCCCATAACTTGATATGATTTACAACAATGAAAAGGAGAGTGCAGTTTAGCTATTCAAGAAGAGCACATAGAAACTATATTAGTTGTGAAATAAATTATGAAAATATAAAAGAAAGTAGTGTCAAAATTTCCAAATTTTACTGAAGAAAGAAGAATTTAAGCCTTTAAACTAAGAAGAAAATTATTATTACAGAAGATTGGTGAGAACATTCCATTTTTATTAAGTTATTGACTCAGACTAGACTCTTCAAGCATCCATTTGGACCCAATTTACCTCTCTTAATTAAAATCAAAATCCTTCCTATTTAACTCATTGTTTCTAAAAGATTATTTAATTCAAAACTTACCATAACTTACTTATTGAAAATTTAAATTTGAAATCTTTTGATTCGGCCAGCACGAATCCCCACCCCTGAACAATTTTTGTAACCCTATTTTAACCATTTAACTTATGTACCATTAAACCTCATGCTTTAAAACCTCTGTCCTCAAATTATTATTGTTTAAGATAAGATTAGAATATAAACCATATTAAGGGTTTATTTCAATGGCGCCCAACGTAATAGGCTTGAATCAAAAGATTTCATAATCGTATGTTGAGACAATCTAAAATAGGCTAATAAATACCAATAGGCTAATAGGCTACTTACGTATGTTAGGCCTACTCTTAAGAAGTTAGGTAGGATTAAGAATCCCGATTTCCCACAACTTATGTCCCACCAATATTAGGTACTAACTAAACGACTTGTAATTCTAAAAATAAATAGGCTACTATAAGGTAAAACAGATTTATTTCATGTCGTAAAGCTTAGGCCTAGCTCATTATTGTTATAACGATACCCAACTTGTCCTATAATATCCCTGTTCCCTTACACCGTCGTAAACAAAATGGCTAACAACGATAACGATAATCACTATAATTTGAGACAACCGAGACGTTATCCTGCATTATTATTTCAACAACACGAATCAGACGAATCGTCAATTCTGTCAACAGAAGAAATAGAAAACCTAACCTATGTAGAAGGCCAAGATGAATCTAACACCAGTTCGGAACGTTTCAATCCCAATGGACCCAGTGTCGAAGATTTGAACCGGAACGAGAGCGACCAATCAGAATCAACGGACCGGGCCGAGATTATTGAAGTACACCAAAGACCCGCAGCCAATCAAAGCACACATTCACAGTCAGCTGATATTAGAACCACATCGACACACAGAATCATCCGAGGGTTAACGAAGACGCCCGAAGCAAGTTTCCAGCTGTTAGAGACCGAGTCTCCGACCATTGAAAACCGTCCCAATGACGTAATACCAACGTTCACACACGCAACTTCTCAACCACCTGAAGTTAAAGCTACGCAAACTACTGAACAACCGGATTTGAACAAAATATTTAATTTTCTAGAACAGTTTAACACTAAACTTGATCAAACCAACACACAACTAAACCAAAAATTAGATCAGACCCGAATAGAGCTAAACCGTGAGATAAAATCATGTCAAAAAATTCTAACAGAACAAATAAATGACATTAGAACAACACAAAGTGAATTTCGCCAGGAATTAAATGTCCTAAAAGCTAACCAACAGTCCCAAAATCAAGAGAACAAAGAATTTCAATTTCAAATCACAAATCAAATTGACGAATCAAAAATAAATATCCAGACATTTGTAACTAATAACTTGGAACAACAAGAACAAAAGTTAGAACAAAATATGAAAGCATTAGTGCTACAAACAAAAACCGACAGTGAAAATATTGCTAAATATTATGCACAATCCATCCACAATGAAATTGTTCCTAAATTACACATACAAAATAATCTTATCCAAGAACAACAAAACGAAATTAAAACTATTACTGAAACTCTAAACAAATGTGAAAGTGAAGTACAGTCACTAAAACTGAAACATCATTCACCAATCCGGAACGACAATCCTATTCAAATCATATGTTCGGGATCTGACCCAATGGAAAGACAAATCCCTAAATTCAATGGAAGAACTATAAATCCAAATGAATATCTACAAAAACTTAAACGGTTCTACGCTAAAAGGATAGAAAGAAATCCTAATAACGACCCTGTTGAAATTCTGAAAGATCTGCTCGACGTCAGTTTTGAAGGACCAGCGTCCAGATGGCTTCAACTGGTTAAGGCAGACATTAACAGTTGGGAAAGATTCTCCGAAGAATTCACCATGAAATACTGGAGCCGTGAAGTACAAAGAAGAGTACGTAGCAAGATTGAAGCCGAACATTACAAACCTAATGGAACGCTCAACAGAACTGAATATTTTACTGAGAGAGTCCTATTGCTACAGTCTATTACACCACAAATGACTGAAGAGGAAATAGTGATCCTGTTAAGCGAACGATTTGATCAACTCATCCAAGATAGCATTCAAGTACAGAACGTGACAACAATTCGAGCATTCGAAAGACTTCTGCAAAAAGAAGATATCCGAGATGGACCCAAAAGGAGCAAACCTGCGAACTACCATAATATGGATCACCGACCAAATAGTCCTACACATCGTAACAAGACTCCACCATATAGCTCTGATATTAACCATCGAGCCTATCAACCAAAAACATCATCTTATGCTATACGGACACCACACCAAGAACATCAAGAACCTAGAGAACACCAATATCAGCCATACAACCGTTTCAGACATGATCCTCGCAAAAACTACAATCAAAACCACAGACAGCATCCTTATACCAATACGCTCACTGATCAAAACCGATACCACCAAAGGCCTAATCAATACTATTACAATAACAGCAAACCATATCCTACAAATGAGCAAAAACAAGTATGTGCCATGATAAGTCAAGACAGTCCACATGACACAGCAACACAACAAAGATCTCCAACAAATTTCAACCCCTCATACACCAGCCAGGGAAACGACCCGTCGCTGTAGATGTAAGCCGAGGACCATCAACTACCAACATCATAACAACTACAGCGATATCAACAGCAAATATCCTCGAAAATAATTCTTTAAATAACCCTAACAATTTTTCGATAAATAATATAATGTGTGATCAAGATTTTTTATTAAATGAACCCACTGAAAATAATAAATTTCCTGTATCCAAACCAGTTAAATGCCCTGAAATAGATATTAGAATCAATAATCTCCCAACAAAAGCATTAATCGATACTGGTTCTACAATAACATGTATTTCCGAACAATGTTTCAAAGAGAATCAAAAAATAATTCAACCACTTGAAGAACTTCCTTTGTCTAATACGACAATAACTACAGCTACTGGTGAAAAATCAAAACGTGTTGCAAGAATCATTTATGCCCCTGTAACCATTGAACATCAGACCATCTGGCTTCAATTTCTTATCATACCTAATTTAATTAAACCTGTGATATTTGGTATGGACACATTAACAGAACTCCGACTAAAGATAGATTCTAATGAAAATAAATTAAGCTTAACAATTAATGATACTGATATTAATCTAAAATGTGATATGAGTATTAAAATGGGACAAGTATGTCAAATAGATATAGGCAATTGCCAAAGGCCATATGATAACTACTATAACAATGAAGAAAACTATTTTACAATGTACAAAGAATATCACTTACCCAAGAAAGAACCACAGACCCACAATTACATGAAGACCTTCAAACCGATTTCCCCAATACTTGGACCATCAACATACCACATAAGTGATCTCTACAAAATTATATGGACCCTATCATATATCCTCCATGAAGAAATACATGGAACCGATCTACACACCACAACCGAAGATAGAAGATAAACTGTAATGTGTGCTTAACCCTATAAACATTGCTGTAAAAGGGAAGAATTTTAAATCATACCCACACAAGCAGTGAGTGAACAAGCCATTTTCTCCAGTTACCTCTGTCCCAATAGTTAAACTATAGTCATAATCACAAATTTAATGTATTTAGTTATAAGAGGTTATCATCAAGCAATCACCAACAACTATTCATTTAATGTATTCCATATTACCTATAAGAATCATACATCTCTTATATGTCTCATGTTCATTTCATATTTCAACATTTGTTCATCACTCCATTCATTTATTATGTAAAAAAAAATAAAATTGTTTTAACCACTTAAATTAATGTTATGTTTTTAATGTTTGTAGAAGATAGGAGGGGATAGTAATCATTTTGTTATTTAAGAATTATTTTATTGTTATGTTCATTCCAACTGAAATTTGTTCTAGTTAAACCTTAATGTTAAGTTTGTTAGATTTCTGTTTCAACTCAATTTCATCTCAATATTTGTTATTTGCTGTATAATGTTAAATATATTTTTCGTCATTTAGCGAAAATATGTCATTAAAAATTTAATTACATATTTTCTGAGGGGATATTGTAATGACTCAAAATTCAATGTTTATAATTATAGTCCTTATTTTATTTTCAAACTCAATCTTGTTATATTTTCAATATTTATCCATGTCCATTTTTAATATTATTAAAACCATATTGTCTCAACATATATATAATTTACTATCAAAATTTATTCATTGGCTTATCCAAAATTATTATTCAAAAACAAATCCTCCAATCAGAACACCATCCATCTGGGTTCAAGATTATTAATAAAATTCAACCATGTTTTTATTTATGTGAACCCCATAACTTGATATGATTTACAACAATGAAAAGGAGAGTGCAGTTTAGCTATTCAAGAAGAGCACATAGAAACTATATTAGTTGTGAAATAAATTATGAAAATATAAAAGAAAGTAGTGTCAAAATTTCCAAATTTTACTGAAGAAAGAAGAATTTAAGCCTTTAAACTAAGAAGAAAATTATTATTACAGAAGATTGGTGAGAACATTCCATTTTTATTAAGTTATTGACTCAGACTAGACTCTTCAAGCATCCATTTGGACCCAATTTACCTCTCTTAATTAAAATCAAAATCCTTCCTATTTAACTCATTGTTTCTAAAAGATTATTTAATTCAAAACTTACCATAACTTACTTATTGAAAATTTAAATTTGAAATCTTTTGATTCGGCCAGCACGAATCCCCACCCCTGAACAATTTTTGTAACCCTATTTTAACCATTTAACTTATGTACCATTAAACCTCATGCTTTAAAACCTCTGTCCTCAAATTATTATTGTTTAAGATAAGATTAGAATATAAACCATATTAAGGGTTTATTTCAAAGGTTAGCTCCAATCAATAAACCACTTACCTAAGAAGGATTGTTTCTGGACCGAGATGCCAATTGTAATGGACCTTCAATTAACAATATGGTCACATTAGGTGGTAACAGGCCAGGATTTGGACCACTCCCACACAAAAATGCCAATGGCGTAGAATAAACATTACATTAAAATGTCTTTTGGTGGTGCAATTCTTAAAAATGCAGCCAGATGACCGGAATATAATTTTGCTTAACTAAAGTATGTTGAACTAAGTCATTATAGGTGAATGGTTAAGAGACCCGCTATGGCACAAAAAAACACAAAAGGATGACACAATACATAAAGCATTTGAATATTTCACAGTTACTAATAGCAGTTTCAACTAAGAAGTTCGTAACCCAACATCTGTTGTTTCAGTGAGGAAGGAGATATCAAGAAGGTGGAACCTCTGGACCCCCCATCAGCCAGTGTCCCGGGGGAGAGAGTGGTGGTGGAGGGTTATGAGTCCGGGACTCCGGATGAGGTGCTCAACCCTAAGAAGAAAATCTGGGAGAAACTCCAGGTAGGACTCAGCTGAGCAATTCTCCTTGGGGATTTTAACATCATATGTACTCACAGAGATTATTTGTTGGGAAAAAGTATTGATAGAATTTCTTTTAGGTATCAAAACATTATGATTTCAAGTTACCTTTGTCTCTAATTTCAAAGTATTACGAATCTAAAATTTACAACCACCTGGAAAGTAAAAGTCAACTTTAGAATTGGAGACAGACAATATAACTAATCTCTTAACTTTAGGTACTGTACTGTAATAAACTATTTCAGATGTAATCAACAAACATTTAAAAAAACTGTTTAATGGTTTAAATAATATGACACAAAGCTTATGCAACACACCAAATTTATACCACCAAAATAGTTTTTTTGGTGTATGTATTTTGAATTAGAAACACAGAGACTCATAATTTTGTCTTGCCTTGGAAAGATGACTACTATAAAAAGTAAGTTGTTTTAAAGGTGCTACCTATTTTTAGAATATTACTAATACATTAACATTACTAAATATAGTATTGTAATTCAATACCTCGATCCTAAAAAAACTAAATAGGCCTAGTATTTTAATTAGAGATGTGTTGATACCAAAATAACATAAAAAAGCCATTCTTGATGTCGATACATTTTTTATTTTGCCAAATTTCTTATACATGGATTGGTTATACTACACCAGCCCCTGTCTTTACATGAAGTAATTATTGTGTGATGAAGTGTTTTTAAAATAAAAAAAATCAACATAAAAACAATGAAAAATGATAACTAGCCAATTCAAACTTAAACCCTTTCAAACACATAAAAACCATATCAAAGGCAAATAAAGAGCTTTCAAACCCAAAGTGCTTAAAGATCACTCGGTTTGGAAGTAGACTAACATAGTAACTCGTATGTAAAAGGCCAAACTCACACAAATCCAAAACCAGACAAGTCAGGCGACTCACAGATTCAAGATTCAAGATTCAAAGAGTCTTTATTCACACAGTACAAATTTTCGTACATGAATAGTGTCTATTGTTACTTACTACCTAAATTAGCAATAAGAAACATTTAAACAAAATACTATAGGCTACATTATTTTAAATTGAAATTACTATAATCTTCTATTTTGTAAGGTGCAAGGTCAAGTAAGAATGCCTTCAGATTTTTCATAAATTTAGATTTGTCTTTTTCTTTTTTTAAAAAGCTAGGAAGTTTTCTAAAAAAATAGTTTAAATATATTGTTTCAAAAATATATAAGGCGTGAACTGTAAAAATGCCCATCCCATTAAAATAAGATTTGACAGACTGGTTGTATTTTAATTTATGTATTATCCTGATAGTTTTTTTTGTATTTTCAAAATCTTTTTTAAATTCTTTTTCTTTGTCCCACCATAAATACTAATTCCATAGTTAATATGTGATTCAATATGAGCATGATATATCATTTTAAGGACTGATCCTTCACAGAGATATGACATTGTTCTTAGGACGAATATACCAGAATTTAGTTTTTTTATTAAATACTCGACATGTTTATTCCAGCTTAAATCCTCATCTATTATCAAACCCGATAGTTTTGAGGTTTTAACTTCAGCAATGGAATTTGTTCAGCAATGGAATTTGTATCTATATCTAACTTAATACTTTTATCATTTTTGTCTCTTTTTGTTTTGAAAAGAATGAAATTAGTTTTACTAGTATTAAGTACTAAATTATGGTCTTTTAAAAACTGATTCAGACTTTTTAATTCTGATTTAGCAGACATTTCTAAATCAGTTAGGGATTTCCCAGTTGTGTTAAGATTAATATCATCTGCATATATACTTATTTATTTATTGGATATTTATTTTATTTTTTTGGATTTATCTACCTGGGTCTTTTAGAGAATTTGGAAGATTTTTAAGGTAACATATGAATAAAAGAGGACCAAGAATCGATCCCTGTGGGACACCAGATGATATCTTTGATAAATTAGATCTTGTTTTTTGGATGATGTTATTTTTTGACAAAGTTGATATTTCCACAAATTGGTAACGTTCCTCAAAGTATGATTTAAACCATTTGAGAGTGACACCTTTAATACCCAAATTATCAAGTGTAGCTATTAATTGATGGTGGTCTACATTATCAAATGCCTGGGACATGTCCATGAAGATGCCAGCTGAATTTAAACCCTTATCTAGTGAATTTATCACGGCTTCAATGAAATTAACCGCTGATGTAACTGTCGATCTACCAGCACGGAAACCATGTTGTTCATTATCAATTAGATCACACTGGTTCAAGAAACTGTTCAACCTGTTGTACACTGCCTTCTCATATACCTTTGATATTGCCGGGAGAATTGACACTGGCCTGTAGTTTGAAATATCTTTCTTAGAGTTTTTCTTATAAACAGGTACCACTCTAGAAATTTTAAGCTCATTTGGAAAAACTCCTGTTACAAATGATGAGTTAATTAGGTGCATTAAAATTAATTTAATCTTATCTTTCACCTCTTTTAACATTTTTACTGATAAATTGTCATAGCCAGATGTAGTTTTATTTTTTAAAGATTGTATAATAGTTATTATTTCGGTATCAGTTACTGGTATCAGTCACAATTTCTACATGTCAGGGTTACCAATCGCCTTATCACAGGCTTGTTGTAGGCCTATGTTATTGTATTGCTTCTCCATTTCCCCTTCCTGGGTCCAAGAAATTGTGATGTTTGGGCAGCTGCACGGATAAAAATCGAAAGCCAATTATACTTCTAATGAGAAACCATGACTGTTCTATGATCAATCTATCATTTTGAAAAAAAGAACCTCCTAGTAGCTGGATTACAGGACGACGCCACCGTCCAAGGCAACACTAAATAAACAGGCCGTAATGCTCATCTGGAATGACGTCATCATAGGCGACGGCAATGACGTAATGTTTGTAGTTTGTGAACAGCTGCTTGTTTTAATATTTTCTTGGAAAACAAAAATATAACTAAAAAAAATAGCATTACATTATTGCTGTCGCCTATAATGTCATCGTGCTAGAGGAGCATTACGGCCTGTTTATTTAGTGTTGCCTTGCACCGTCCCAGTCTTTTAATATCATTGAAAATTGTTGTTCCAGGTTGATTTAAAAACCACCTCCACATGTGAAGCCCAATGGCAAGGCAGCCCCTTGGTTGCAAGAGTGGGGAGAATAACATGTAAAACCCTCAAGAACGCTCCTATCAAATAAGATATTTATTATTAAAAATGATGTCAATGTATAAAAAATTGTTTTTTAGAAGTCTGATTTTTATATTTAATTTTATACTTTTCAACAAAAAGAGTTATTTTTTTCAAACAAAGAAACTTTTTTTTAAAAGTTTACTTTAGACTTTAATTTAAATATACACTTTTATGAATATTAAACTTCAATTTGTTTATTTGTCATAGAATTATTTGTTAATAGCATAGCAATATGTATATAGTTGTAAAGTTGTGCCTTTTAAATTATATTGTCCCCCTTTTTTATGTTAAAAAACAAAAAAGTTCAATTATAACATTTTAGTATTTCCATAAAAATATTTATTTCTCGTGAATTTTATTGTGTTGAGAAATTTTTAAATTACTACTTTTGTCTTGTGAGACATAAATAGGCTAACATTCATGTGATTGTCACAAATTTTAATTTTAAAAATTGTAATTATTTAGTTAAGAGAAGTTTTTTATTTAATTTTCTTATACATTTGACAGTGAATAAATATTGTTAAAATTGTTTATGGTTTTCGTCTCAACCTTACTATGTCTAGCATATGTATTCTTTAATCAAATCAATCAAAAACCTTCATTGTTTGAAAATGCATTCTCATTGTGATTGTGACATATTTCAAAAATCCTACAAATTTTGTATTTTGAATCTAGAAAAACAGTAAATTTTCATTAAGATCTGATATTTTAATAAATTTATTTTTCCTCTGTAGTATACGATATACAAATCTGATCTACAATATTCGTATACTGCTTGAATTAGGGAGAATCAACATCACCCACAACGTTTACTTAAACTGATGGGGCGATCACAGTCTAGACCCTGGGGCCCTATTTTTGAAATGGTTTACTGTTGAGTTGAGTGTTGAGTCACTCACTTTCCAATCGTTTTGTATTTTTCAAACGATTGACAGTTGTCTTATCCAACCAAAACTACTCACCGCCTACTGAGCTGTTGAGTGGACGTTGACTGCACTTTCATCTACATCTCACGGTTAAAATTGTTCTATTTGAGTCGACGCCACATTGTTATTGCTTTGTTTACTACCCCCAAAGCAGAATGGTTCCTACGTGTCTGTAACGGCCTGTGAAAACCTCAAAATGTGTCCGCAAGCGCTAAAACTAAAAAGCTAAATAATGACTTATATACCGGTATATATATATATATATTCACTCTTTAGGGCTACTAGTAATATAGTTAAATAAAATAAGTAAATTTCAATAACTTGTATAGCCTACTTTTAAAACAAAAAACTAAAAAACTATTAAGGGGTAGGCATAATCAGGTTATTTAAATTTACTTTTTTTTTTTAAATACGTATATATATACACATACCTTAACAAGTGTTAAGCCACCTAATGTTAGTAACCACCTAATAAATACTGTATTCACATATAACAATAAGTTTAGGTTTAGAGTTGTAAAAAACATGGATTAATTTTTGTCAGTTATACTGTTTTGTTTTTTATTGTATACAAAAAGTTTGTATACAATTTAATAAAATAAATAATATTTTTATTTGGTAAACTGAAAAGTTATTACAGTAAAACTTGAATAATTCGAACCTCAAGGGACCAGCTAAAAACTTTAAATTATCCAACGTGCAGAGGGAGTGAGGGAGTGTAAGGTACAATGTCCTTTGGGCGGAACACGCCGCGCCGTCTCAGTTGCAAGCAGGGTTGAGCTATTTTTAGAGTGACCGAGTGACCTTCAATGTTCTGCCGGTGGCGGGAGGGGAGGGGAGGCATGAGTCATCAGACAAAAGGCAGGTGGCGCGAGGACTTGCACTTGTTTTAACGCAAACATTTCGTCAAATTTTGCTTGGAATATTTTTTTATTTTAGAATATTTTCAGTCGTAATTATTTAAAAAAATTATTTGCTACTTAAAAATTTGAATTATCCACGATATGTTTGCATTGATTACTGAAATGAAAAATGTTAGGAACACTGGAAAAATTCGTTTAAAGAAGATTTCTTTTGAATTAATGATCCAATCCAAACTAACATAGATGAAATATTATTATACAGTGCTAATGGTCCCATGGGTTGTTAACTGCGATCCTGTGGGTGAGTAATTAAAAACGTAGTCCTCTCGTCCGATTGTAGTTGTGTCTAAAAATAGCGTATCGCTTATCGGCTATTTATAGACACAACACGTTTCTGGATACAGATAAGTCATTTCAATTCCAGGAAAAGATGAAGGATGATTAATAGTTTTGAGAATCGTATCTTATTTCCCTTACCGGGAAATTCCGAAACAAAAACTCTTTGTGCTCGATAAACGATTAATAATTTCCCGAGTTTTATCCCAAAACAATTTGCTCGAAACAAACAGAGCAGATAACACGCTCACGAGAAGGCCGAGAATACATTGTATATTTCACTCATTCGCAAAACCCATTACGTACTCAAATAATGCCAACATTAGTTATACATTTTACAGTAACAAAGGTCACGCACCCACGCACCACAGAGTTAACACAATAGGGCTGGAATGCCTTTTTTCTTCCGAAATCAACAACGTAATGGCGTTTTTCTATTTCGCAACACTATCGCCAGATACGGTACAGTGCGTCTTCATAGCTCAGTCATCCGCGCGCACTTGTAAGGTGGAGGGAGGGTGGTTGCTGTCTGTCAGGTGACTGTGCCGGGCCAATGGGAGAGCGGTAGGAGGGCGTGGCCTGCAGACAGATACCGAGCGGAGCGGCAGACGGCATCCGGCTGTCGAGCAGCGCGGTTCTCTCCTCTTCGACGTGATGTGCGTAGTAGCGTGTTCACTCGCGCCCGCTTTTCTTTTACTTTGCGATATTTTTTTTCGTTTAACCGGTAAATTTTGTCCGCGGACAAAGTATTTTTATCTATATTTATCGAGATATTAAAAAAAAATAATTTCAAGCTCGTAAATGTGTCCGCAGGCCCGCGTTTCTCGGCGTTTTGTGTCCGCGACAATGTCGCAGCGTCGCTCGTTGTTCTGCTTTGGGGTTTACTACTTACTAATTATGATTAGAGGTTAGGTATTTTTTGTCATTGTCGCGGCACCAATAATTCATCTTGGCAGCTTTTTCTTTACTAAAAATTTTGAACTGCTTAAACCATAGCTACTTGAATTAGTAATAGACACACTATATACAGTTTTAATGGACAACTCGATTCTCATACGTAGGACGGGCCAACAGCTCGTTTGTGTTATTGTGTGAATGTTTGATTTTGATAATTTACTTTTTCATTTTGTTTAGGTACAGTGGTAGAACAGAATAGCTGTGGTAGATGTGTTTTATACTATACTATATCTGTAATACTATAGCATACTGTAAATATAAAGAACCAAATTCTCTCAAGCCATATCCTCCCTCATTGCAAACACAAAGCTAGAGTATAACTGCAATAAGCATTTTATACTTATACGCCAACCCCGTATGAAGAACGGGTACTCTGCTGGTTAAGTATGCAATCAAAAGTGAAAGAGATCTACTCCTCCCTGACACAATTTCATAAAAACGTGGCCGATAAACTTAAAACCCAATACAACATTATTTTTTATAAACAACCAACATTAAAATAAATTAAACTCCTGACACCAACATAAATATGAATATCAGATTAGTTAGAACATTTAGTGGTCAATATTTCTTTGTATTTAGTAAATAAATATTGTTATAAATATTAATTATATGTCGTTCCAGTTATACTGTAGTATTTAAGATGATTTTTGAAGTTCAGAATACGGTTTACTTGTTGCGTTAGTTACCAAAAATGGTTGATCATATAATGAATAAAATATTTCCCATACCGTACGTCATCGGAGTTATTATTAGTATGTTATCTGGTACCTCTTCCTTTGGAAGAACCTTAAATAGTATTAAAATCGTATTGGTGGATCTTTTGTAGTTAAACACTTCCGTGATTTCATCAGTGTAATGCAGATTAATCTATGATTTTATTTGAAAAAAATATCTGTTTGAGTTTGTTGGAAAGACATGTTCTAACTTCAAAGGGAGGTATATCCGTTACAGTGTAAGTTTGATTTTTCCTTCATCACGTCGCGTCAGTTCATATCGTACTTCTGTGCCAATGAATAACCCTCTAGCACAGTTTTGAGAAATTGGTTGTGGGGTTACTGTTAAAGCTGGAATTCCTTTATATGGGGATGTCAGTTAGTTGTATCAGCCTTATCAATTACATAAAGTAGTCAATATAATCTCTCTACGGAACGTTAGGTGTAGTGGAATATACTTGAAGTGAAGTTGGCTTTTATTCTTGAACTGTTAGGGGCCTTATATGGTCATGCGGCTTCATTGGCAACAAATAATGCAAACGACATAGCAATGTGGCATTTCCAAATAAAGCAAAAAATATTGTAAATTGGCTGTTACGTAAATATTGACGTTTACATGTATTGTTAACACCGTATCCTATAGAGGATGATCTTGTTTAAAAGGAATATGGCCTTTCTGTAATGACAGTATCTGCTTATATAGTATTTACTCATTGGGCCATTTTTTACAGCCAAAATGTTGTTATTTTCAATAATGTTACAAACCCAGTGGGCCACGGTCCGTAATATAGGTCACTGCAAATCATTTGTCAAGATATGTACCATTTTAGGCAAGGTTTCTGTGTTTGGATGCTATTAGACACGGTAAGAGCACAATAAAATTCTTCTGCAGATGAATTATAAACCGTTGGAGAAATATAAGCCGAATTATAAATGTCACAATGGGAGTTAGAGCATTTTTTTTTAGGCTGCTGCTCAGTGCACTTTAAGAATATATTTTTTAGAGATAAATTAAAGGGTTTTTGTTGCTGAGTAGCGCTAGTAAACATGCAGAACACTTTTCGTTAGTCTAATAACATTCAAAGGATCTCTAAGAGTTCAACTTCTTATTTGTACATACATAGACGAGTCGATTTAGCCCAAAAAAGCCTCTAAGATAGAACAAATTCCAACAAATGGTTTTTGGACGGTTTTTGGTAGTAATAGGTGTAGAAAGTACCAGGAAAAAAGTCTACCAAAATCGGACAACCGGAAGTCGGGTTTTTCCAAGATGGCCGCCGCGAGGCCCTCAAATCGACAAGATGACTGCAAATTCGTCGATTCATAGTTCCAGGATTGGCCGATTTCCACGAAAATTGGCAAACACATGTAGAACTATATTTCCAACCTTAAATATGAAAACTAGGCAGACAAAGTAACCCAAAGATGAATTTTCAGGGTATTATGTGCTAAAAAATTAGATTTTTTACCTCAAATATATGTTTTTCTAATATTTTGTACAAAGTTTGTTATAATTTAAAATTTATTTTTTCACCATTAGATTCAACACAAAAAACCTAACAATTTAGTATATTGAATCTTTGTTCTTCTTCAATTTGTTACAGAGATATTGAAAGTAATAAATTTAGTATGTTTTCTTGCCGAGATAGCTCAATGTTAATCTTATGGAGAATAAGCATAAATATTAATATTATTTTTCATTAAACCTATAT